CCTGCAATAGGTTTTTAAGGCCTCCATTTCCCAACTTGCTTGCTAATTTTGTGCAGCACCTTGAAATTCTAAGAGGGAGGCAACCCAAATGCAAACGTCCTGGTAGGAAATCCAGGCTGTAAAGGGCACATCAGAGCATGGGTGGGAAGGGTGGAGAGAGTGCACGGGGACCTGAGTGTCAACAGGGTAGCTGGCAGCCCCTCTCCGTGGCCGGGGGGGGGGGTGTGCCCAGCCCCACGCCGCAGAACTCTCTCCCCTGCCCATATGTCCTTTTCCCCTGGTCCAGGGGCAGCCCTAGTCCACCTCCATCCCTTGGTCCAGATCAGAGGGCCTTTGCCACAATGTCTCCAGTGCAAAAAAGTCAGCTGGCTGTGCCAACAGCTTGATGATGCAAACTCTGTGGCAGTCACTAGTCATGCTGGAATTATTTACTCCACAGCAAGCGAAGAAAGGAAAGGCTTGTGTGCCGACACCTCTGCGTGCCTCCCCTCTGCAGCTGTGGCATCTCTGACGCTCAAGGAAGAAAGGACCATCAGTCTAGTCTCTTCCCTCCACCCTGCCCCACCAGAAGTACTTGCTGGAGGAGGTTTCCTAGAGCTCTGTCTCACCTGGCTTGAGCTCTGGCAAGCAGATCCTGCCGGACGCTGTCCCACTTCCTAACGTCGCTTGCAGTTCAGAAATATTTCCTGATGGCCATCCCCAGTTCTTCCTAAACAAACCCGGTAACTCCTCTTCCCACCACGTTGTTCCACCTGATCCACCCCTCTGCTTACTTTCTGTTTGCCTTTTGCAAATTTCTGAGGGATCGCTGCCTCCTCTTTGATCTTTGCTTGCAACATGGAGTTTTGTCCCTTCCTTCTGGGGCTGAAGGACCTATTGCCCTCTGAGCAGTGACATTATTCAGTGATATTATCCCCATGCGTGTGGTTTGCTGACTTGGCCAGACAGGTTTTTCCACGTGATGCTGATGATTGTGAGTGAATTAATGGCTGTCACCAAAGCAGAAGAAAGTAGCCGAGCTGCAAAATGAGCTGTGGACCCAGGTGAGAGTTGTGGTGAGGCAAAGGAGAAAGAACTATGCCCATCACACCCAGTGCACTTAGTTCAATCCTGCCTCCCCGGTGCCCCTTTCTACCTGATGGAGAGGGCTTTCAGTAGAGCATGAGGCCAACACCACTCAGTGGGTTGGGACATCCTCCAAGATGGCCACTGTTGTGGCATTGCTGTGGGATCCATGTCTACCTGGGAGCAAAACTTGCCCCTGCTCTGTCCCCTGCTGCCCCGAGCAGCCGCAGAGGAGCCTAAGGCTGTGGTAGCAGCTCAATGACACCCGCAGCGGGGCCAAGAGTCCTCCTGGCCCGATGGTGGGAAGGATGGGAGGCGTCACGGGGATGGTGGAGTGGGACATGAAATCATGTTCACCAGAAGGTGTTGGAATCTCTCCTCTGCTTGGCCTTAATAAACCCTGGTAATTTCCTTCTCCTGCCATGTTTGCTGTGTGCTGGATGCAATCTCTGCCCGGCGTGGGGCTCTGCAGTTTGGGCTGGAGGTGGTGGAGGCTGCCTGAGCCATCTGACCACAGTCTGGTGCTCCTGACTCACTAGCACGGTGTCATTTGTTTTATTTGACTTCGCAGGCACTGCAGAAGTGTGCCGAAGCGTACAGAAGAAGCAAAGCTGTGGGGTTTAAGATGGATCCAGCACTGCTGTTGAAGAGAAAGTTGTAGGAGAGGGAGACAAAAGCAGAGAGAGGTAAAAGGAGGGACGGTGAGAGGACAAGTGGAGGGGGGACAATATAAACGAGAAATGTGTGGGGCTGGGTGGGAGCCATCCACAGGGATGGAAAGCAGCGGTGAGAAGGCAGGGAGAACCGAGGGGCTGGACGGAGAGGGCAGAAGGGAGGATGAGAGAGCATGAGGGAGGTGGGAAGCAACGTGCTGGCAGAGCACCTGCATGTTGGCAGGAGCCTTCTCCCCACCCCAGCAGTGTCACGCTGCTCCGGAACTGGGGTGAGCATTGCTCGGCTCTGTTGGACCCCAGCCCCACGGCAGCTTTCTCCAGCATTTCTCCACATCATCAGGCTGCTGGAGAAGCCCAGAAAAACAGCAGCCAAGCAAGGCCTTTGACCAGTCTAGCACACGTGTGAGGAAAGGAGCCGGTGGGATTTGCATTGCTGTAATGTTTTGCAGAGCCAGGTCCGGGCACTTGGCTGACCGTGCAGCTCCTGTTCTGCCACGGAGTCTGACATGAGTGGAGAAGGGAAGGGGACCAAGCAGGGTACTCGGTTTCCCCAGTGTGCCAAGTCCCTGTGCCATGGGTGACTGCAGCCACCTGAGGCCAGCCTCCGCGGGGACGAGACAGCGGGGACGAGACAGCTTTGCCGTGGGGACACAAGCTGTGTGATGCCACCTGGCTTGTGAGGGCTAGCAGCACAGGTCCTGCATTGTCTGCCAGCGCAGACATAGCCCCTGAGCCTCTGTCCTGTGGACTGGGAGCTTTTGGTGGTGCTCTAGAACAAGACTGGGAGGAAGCCCTAGAAAGGAGACAAAGTAAGATCACCTGAGAGACCGGGAGGGGAAGAAGAGACTGCTTTCGCTGGCCAGGCAAGCCCTGAGAAAGGGAAAGGGACCAGCCCATGGAAGGACCTCCATGGTGATAGGCGAGGGAGAAATCTCCGTTAGCATCATGCTTTCTGACCACATCTCAGAGGCTTCGCTTTCCTCTGGGAGAGACGGTTTTCTGTTGGCAGCAAAAGAGACAAGCTTGGTCATTCAGACAGGTTCAGCTGAGCTCAGGCCCCATGGAGCTCCTTCAGCAACCTCCTCCACAGTCCTGCAGCCAGGCCTGGGATGCCTCAGCCACAAACCATTAGACCTGCCACCATCCCAGCTCAGTATCTACAGTAAACTTTACATGATGGCAACAGCTTGTTTTTTTTCCTTAATTACATATGGCATTTAATTAGTGCTGAGTGGTTCCCCAGTGTGTAACTCTTAACGTGAAGCAGATCTTCATCCATAATGCCCTAAGAGCAGTGAAAGAGGGAAAGGTTGGCCGAAAGTGCTGAGTGAAAGCAGTGACGTCGTGGGACACTCCACACTTACCCACCGAAGCTGGGAAAGTTACAAATCACCATGGCAGCAGTAGGTTTCAGAGTGAACGCCTGTGCCCTGAACAGGGCAGATGGTTCTCCTTCCACAGCAGTTCTCTGCCCCCCACCCCGCTGCCCACAGCCAACATGTGCATGGAGATCTCCCTCCTGGCGAAGCCCTACAGGCTGACTTTCCAGGTGGAGGCACAAGGACTGGGTGCTACGGCAGTCTCCATAGCCTGGAAATCTGGAGGGACTGCACTCCTCACTTTCTAGCTAATTAAAACAGAGAGGAAGCTAACTCTGGGCAGCCCCAGCCAGCAGAGAAGGAGCCATTTACTGCCAGCCTGTGGACCGTCGGGAGCCGATTAGGCTGCGGAAGTCGCTGCTGTCCTCGCTTGTCCCCGTGCATGGTGGGACCTCGGCCAGGAATAAAGGGGTTTTGGCCCCATCCTTGCCCTTCGCCGCTCTCAGTGCTGTAGGTGTCACATGGTGGGGCTGGGGGACATCAGGCATCAAGGGGCTTACAGCGCTGTGGTGTGCGTGAGCAGAGCCACGAGCCCCCCCTTATATCTCTTTGCCTTCTATCCCCTGCTTCTCTTGCGTAAATCTTCCCTTGTTGCTTTGTCTTGCCCGCTCTTAAAATTCCCAGGCAACGTGGTACTTCTAACCTTCGCCGAAGCTGTTGCACACCTCGCTAGAGCTCAGCTCCAAGGACACCCCTTTCCTCGTGCAAAAGCCAGCTGAAGCACTGCGCTGCAAATTATTTTTCTCCTCCCGTTCAAGTGTTTGATGTTGATCTCTGCACCTGGAGCCTCCCTCGCCTCCTATCCCTGTTTCTGATTTCTCCAGCTCCTTTCCTCCGTGGTGGCTGCCGCTCCTCTGTAGCCGATGCCTTTCGGCAACGTCTCCAGCGCCCTTTGCCTGCCTTCCCCGGGGTGCTAGTCCGGCCGCCGCC